ACCTTTTTTTTCCTGTGTATGTAACGCCCATACAATAAAAAACGTATCAATAAAATTAACCAATTCGAATATTTATTTTTAGTTTACTGAAATATTCATTTGAATGATTGTATTAAACTTCTAAGTGAAGATGAGAATAAAAAAATGAAGAAAACAAGAAGAGTTCACTACTCTAAATTATATTCTCGTTTCGCGAGTTGTGACGGCAGGCGCGCTCTATTTTTAGCTGGAGATTTGGTCCATCGCGATCCACCTGTTTCCCCCTTCTCTCCATAAAAAGACTCGGCGACTAATCTAATTTACTAACTCGATCTATCCATTTCCGGGAAGGAGGGGACTAGCGATTTTAGATAAAAGGGTATAAAATATTCCCCTGCTTGCACGCCTTATTTAAATTTGATTTTAATCTATACAGACAAGCAGGTGTTGCTTGCGAAAACTCATCTTTATAATATTAAATATCAAATTAAATAATTTTCAATTATTTTTAGAAAATTTCATTATTATGTAGGTACTACTACTTATTATTATTATTATTATTATTATAATTATTATTTTTATTATTATTGTTGTTATTATTATTTTTACTAGTATTTTTATTATCATTACTAGTTTTATTATTATTATTTTATTAGGTACTTTATTATATTCGCTATGTGCCTTTTTTATTTATTTTATTTCTTCCAATTTTAATCTAATTTTTTCATTTATTGTTGGAAATAAATCAATACAAATAATAAAAACAAAAATTAATAATAATTATTTATTATTGTGATTATATTATTGCATTGAAAAAAATTTTTGATTCAAATAAGTGATCACTTTTCTATTATCAAATTCAAATTTATTTTTATCAAATAATTTTTATTTAGTTCAATTAAATCGTATTTGCTTTAAATACTGAAATTATTGGTTTAAATACAATTTATTTTATTTACTTAGATAAAAATTATTTCAAAAAAGTAAAGATTTATTTTACAATATAATGGACAAGTAATCGGTTATTTGAATGAAATAAATTTATTCTTTCAATGTAATTGTTACTATTACTATAATTGTTATTATTATTAGTAATTTAACTAATTTACTATTAACATAAAATTGTTAATAATATTTATTACCAGAAAAGATTTACTAAATAATTTTAAAAAATAATATAAAGTTTAAAAAAAACTAATATTAATTTGTAAAAAATTCTAACTATTGCTTAAATGTATAGATCAGATATTATAAAAATACAAAATAAAATACTAATCATAACAACAATAACTGATTGGCTTAATTAGGCAATTAGATATTATTGATAATAATATTAATTCTATTAAAATCATAAGAAATAATTTTAATTTAAAAAAAATGTCCAATTTTTCATAAATTTTATTAAAAATACATAGACCACTGTGATTACAAACGGCGAATGAATAATTTATTAAAAACCAGTTCAGTTCATATTCTACAAAATTATCAATTCAAAATATCACTTCTTTTATATTCTGAAATGCAAGTAATTTTTTAATTCGTCAATAAAATCAAAGCGCCCATCATGATAACAAAAATTATTTTCTCTGATAAATACCTAAATTTATATTTTTCAATCATATATCCTATTCAATTCTTTACATATAAATTTATAAATGTATATACATTTTTTTACACTACACACAAATTCAATTTATGTGCTGGACAGATTTAATGTTTGATTATTTAAAAGAGAAAATATTTCACCTCTAAAATGGTCCAATTTTTCATATTTCCCGAATTATGTAGAAATACATTATTTCACATTTTGCATATATTTAAAAAATGGAAGTAATAAATTTATTTAAAATAGTAACTAAAATATATGAAGTGGTAAAAAATAAGAAGCGTCTATAAAATTAATTAACCTATTAAGTAGAATTAATTAAATAATAAAACTAATAATTAACGACTTTTTAATTTTACATTACGGGCCAAAATAAGTGAAACCGGCCACTTAAAAAATTTTTGTCTCCAATTTTCAAGCTATCTATGATTTTTGGTAGATATATGAGTACACTTTTTCCCCCCACAATATTTTTCAAAAAAAAATTTTATTTTTGAAGTAACCCAATGGGAAATGCCAGTGTAGTGCCGATGTTCACCACTGGCTTAGTACTCAGACGATTGTTCGGCGTAGTCTAGCCGAGCCTCGACAATCAGTGCTGGCGCAGTACAGAATTTTTGTTTCGCCAAAGCTTGGACAAGCCACGGCGGCAAGTGCTGGCTGAGTATAGAAAAATTGTTCACAACGCTCTTTGCCAACATTGCTTTTTTGACATAAACTTGAAAAAAATTATAAAAAAAGTTTAGGAATGTTTATAAATATAAATTCATTGAAAAAATTAATATTTTACTTTTCAGTTGTTCATTTTTTATTTTTATTAAATTTAATAATAACAATTTAACATAATTGTCTAATTCTGTAAATAATAAATTATTTAAACAAATTAAAATTATAAACAAAATTTAAACTTTAATCTCAATAATAATTTGGTTCTTATTAAAATACTATTATACTTCTTACTATGAATAAAAAATTATTAAAAAATTACCACGTAATTTAAGAATTACGTAAAATGTTAAATGCAATAAGTAAAGTAATTTAATTTTTAAAAATTTAGTTTAATTTATTTCATTTCAATTTATTATTTCTAACGTATCCCTATTTTTTTCTCATCTTTGACTCAATAATTGTATGTCTGAATGATACTGAGATATTAAAATTTTACTGCACACACGTGTCGTTAGCATAGTGGTTAGAGCGTTAGTCTGTTAGTCCGTAGGTCGTAGGTTCGATTCCCCTCGTCAGCAATTTTGTTTATTTTCATAGGTTTGCGATATTTCTAGATTCCATTCGTTAGGTACTAAAATATGAAAATCTAATGCACACTTACTGTAATTGTTTATTATTTAATTTTTAGATGTTATAAACAATTGAGGCCTTGGATCCAATAACTCGCCCGACGCTCGAAGAAACGCGCAACTGCCAGTCAGTGAGCAGTGAGCGCCTCTGGGCCACTCACTGCTATTCGACTGGCATTAGCGCGAGTCTCCGAGCGTCGGGCGAGTTATTGGATCCAAGGCCTCAATTTTTTTCTACTTTATTTACTATATCCATTGTTAGTCTCCATCTTTAATACAATTTCTTTGAGAAGAGAAATATTTTATGAATAATAAATATTTATTAATATTATTTACCATTTAGTTGTTAAATTATTTATAATTATGAATTTACGACTAATTAATAACAATACGGCATTTATTGCGGCAATATTCTCAGCCAGCACTGGTCCAATGCTGCGCCAGCGCTGCCTGGCAGCACTGGCAGGCAGTACTTCGCCAGCGTTAGACACCGTTATCATCCCAGAGTTATGCCAGTGCTGTCTGTCAGCGTAGCTGCCAGTACTGCCAGTGCTGGCGCAGTACTCCGCCAGTTGTAAATTTCCCATTGGGAATCAGGTGTTGAAGTTTAATATTTAATTATATTACCAATTTGAAGTCGACAACGTTGATCAACGAAAAAAAATATTCAATAAGAATATTAGACAAAAATAATGCAGCAATATTGCTACAAAATTAAATAAAAATAAAGATTCCTATTTATATTTAGACAATTGTTATATATTCCTTAAAAGCAATATTGTAATACATAAAACGAATTTTTTTCGTTAATCAACCTTTGTCAATATTTAATCAATATTTCAAAAAATAACAATTTTTAAACAAAAAATATTTTTTTCGCTTATCCATTGATCAGAAACGTTGTAAACTTCACCTACGCAGTATTTTTTAATAAAAATAAAAATTAATTGGTCCGCAAGTAAATATTTATTTGAATAATAGATAAATTGTGGAATATTAAAATAAAATAATTTTTAGATTCAGTTTAGAATTGAAATTAAAATTTAAAAAATGTTGGAACATTGAAGAAATAAATTTTTGAAACTCTTGTTATACAAATTCTCATTGACCTTTGATTTTGATTTATAAAAGAATAAGAAAGAATTTTCGGTTTTACGATTTTGATTTGATCATCGATCGCGCGAACTTGAAAAATGCATTTAAACTATGGACAAACTACTTTGGGAAGACTGAAATTCTAGTTGGCAAACTTCTCAAGAAGAAACTTTCAAGTTATCTAACTGATGAAAGATTACCGTTGAAGGAACAGGTAAGACATAGTCGTTCCTTCCTTGCCAAAGGGGGTTTTCATGAAAAGCAAAGAGGAGAGAGAGATAGAGAAGAGGAGGAGGAGAGAAGTCTCAAAAGCGAGAGCAAGCAGTTCTTAACTAAGTTGGTAACGAAGTAAGTTTCCAGTCGTAAAACGGAAGCAGAACAGCCAAAGTGGGTAGTTCTTAATCGCTTCGGCAGAATAATTCGTATCTTTTAATCTCTCCGAAAAAGAAAATGAATGGCAAGAAAAATAAGAGCGTATAACCGGCCTTGCAACTTTTTTGCGAAAAAGAGATGTTTTTACTACAACTTTTTCTATTCGTTTTATAGACAAAAGAAAGAAAAAACGCCAGAAAGTTTTCACATGATGGAAAAAATTTAAATCTTTTTCTGATTTCAAATGAATCGAAAAATCTACAAGTTTACCATTTTTTTAACAAGTTCTACTCATTGATACACAGCAAATTTATTTTCATTATTTAATATTATAATAATAATTTTAAGAATTTTCAACCACATAAATAAAATACTATAAAATGTTTTTTATAGTAAAATTGCAAAAAACGCAAAGTATTAAATTATTATTATTACAAAAATTAAATTATTTCATAATACTGTTTACCTCTTCTAAAGAAAATTGATCCTTATTTTGTTTCGTACTAAAACGATTAAAACTTTCAATATTTGAGGTTATGTCAAGTATTACAAAGAATAATTAAATAATAAGTCCCCTGCAGAAATGACATTCATTCACAAAATAAAATTATTTAATATTGTTGAATTTGTACGAAAAAAGAAAAACTTACTGTGAATGGCTTGATCTTTCCGAATTCAACAAAATCCAATCTATGGTCTTGCATAAATTCCACAGGCATCACGTCTTCCGGAAGTAGTGCACGTGTCACAAATGGATAGAAGGTCTGAAATAGAAAATGACAAGTAATTATTAGATTCAGTCAAGACTACATAATATTGGAATATAAAATGATATGATTAGTCATGTGAAATATGATTTTCACGAAGAATTGCGACACAATAACAAAAAGCCGCATCTTACGTGACAGTAAGCAATGAGAAAGCTTCCCTCGATCTATGAATGCAACATTAATTTTAAAATATATACACATTTCTTATTTGGATTTCCTAATGCACACACTTTTTGATCAATAGCAATTAATAAAAATAATTAATTTCAACAAATATTCTATTCTTTCTTCCGTATAGAATGTGTACAAAACAGTAACAGACGCGTTAAAATGAAGTAAGCTGAATATCGAAAAATATCGAATTATCGCAAAAACACGTGTGCCGCGCTGCAGTCGCACTTCAAGTTCTGGCGCGAATATTTGAAAAACATTTTTCAAAAATTGAAATGAAAATGTAAGAATTGAATTTTTAAGACAATAAATCAATAATAATTATTAATATTTCTTTCTTTCTCACTTCGAATTCATTTCTGCTTTGCGAACAACTTTTATTTTTCTTATTTCTATTATTTTCAGTAAATAATTCCAAAAAAATGTGTTAAAAAACATGAATTTACTAAATTATTTATTTTAATTGAAAAATAAATTTAAAACTATGAAAAATTCTGGGATAATTCAAATATTATTTATTTTAATTTTCAATTTATTAAAATATTTACAAAATTAATGTCCCTAAAGTTTGGAACGTTCAAAGAATGGCAATATTTTTGTTTCTGCTTTTAATATTATTGTTTTATTTAAAAAATATTATTTTCGACTACTCTTTAAATTTGATTTAGTAAAAATGTTTACTAATTTGAATTAGTGTCTGACTTTTGCTTTTAAATTCGTAAATTATATTAATAAATAATAATTTTTACTAATTTGTTAGTAAAATTTACTAATTCAAGAGCAGACGTCAGTCACTAATTCAAATTAGCAATCATTTTTACTAAATTAAATTTAGAGAGTATATATAGAAAAATTAATTCTTAAAAGTTATTATCTTCACTAAGGAATTTTCGTGTAGGAATCAAAAGAATTTAACAATATGGGTGAGAAAATAAAAAAGTGAATAAAAGATACACTCAGAAAGAAATTTGTTTGTAACAACGAAATTTAGGTTGAATTATTTATACAGTTAACCAGAGATTTGATTCAACTAAAATCTAAAAATTGAATATTTATCATTCAAACCTAATTTGTTCTGAGTGTTATACACTATAATATAATAAAAACTAAATAAATAAGTAAACAATAATATAAAATGAAAAATAAATTATAGTGAAGGAGAATAAAATGAAAACATTCGGACAAATAGTTTTAAAAATTTGTTTTTAAAAATCATTTAGATTTCGAAACGTTGAAGTAAACTAATTTATATAATAACTATTTGTCCGAATGTTTTCGTTTCATTCTCCTTCACTATAATTACTATTTCTCGGACGTAAAAGATTGATTTATAATAAAAAATAAATAACAAAATAATAAATATCTAATTAAATAATAAAAAATAAACTAAAAAAACCAGAATAAAAAAATTTCCATGCTATGAAAATGTATTCTCAACGAACAGAAAACACAAAAAAAACTTTTAATTGAGAAAATTTTTGTAATTAAAATAAACAAGAATCTCGAATTAAGAAAATGTTACTTTAACAACATTTTTTTTTTAAATTAAAAAATACCAAAAGTGAAAAGAAAACATTATGAACAAAAATGCTTTTTCAATTGATGAGCGCACGATATAAAGCAAACATAAGAGTTTCTGTCAATATCAAACTTTTAAAAGCAGAAGAAACAGCGTGAAACTTTTTAATTTCTTTTTTTTTTAAAGAAGAGTTCTCAAAGAACTTCTAAAAGGTAAAAGAAATACCGTGAGTAATTAAAAGTTCGTTAATTATAATTAAAAGTTTATAGCAAAGAGAAAAAATTCCAAGGTGAATAGTACTTCTCTGTTAAATTGCAATTAAAAAAGTAAAATTGAATATATATATATATATATATATATATAATGCATATAATGTGACGATATAAATTAGCAAATGCTTTGCAAGCGAGCAGCATTGCTTCTGGTTGCGACCGCGAACACACTCGCCATCGTTGCTTTTGTAAACACTCGAAGCTTTCTCAATAACGATGAGCCAAAAGAGATTTCAGCGATTTTAGTAATACTTCAAACGTTATTTGCACTCTTCAAAGGAAGATCTTTTACTATCCTTCTGTGTGCCACAATATTTACATTATACTTTTTTTCCCCTTTTTTTCGCGAAAAATATTTACATAATTTTAAAAGTGTGAAATTAAAGAATTTGTGTGAAACAAAAAAAAAATAAATTTATTAGACAACAAGCATTCTTGAGAATGAAATTAAAAACACTAACCCCACCCCCTTCTTTTTTTTAGAATTTAAACATTTGACCAAGATTTACTTTTACTTATACAATTTGTTCTTTTTGTTTAATTCGATTTGAATTTCGCGCCGTTATAATTCTGTAAATTTCCACCTAGACGGCGTGAAAACTCGCTCGCAAATGAGATCAAGTACAAGGGAGTACTGACAGAAATAAAAGAAAATAACTTTCGGAAGGAACCGACATATGTATATATGGGCGCTTTTCTTCTTTTTATAAAGAACCGAAATTAATAAATTGTGATTAACTCGATAACTAAAACCGACAAAATGAGTTCTTTTTTTGCGGACGTCCACATTTGTTCATATATTATTGATAAAATATTTAAATCCCAAGTTTTATTTTACATATTTGAGTGACGGTAAATAAATAAATATTTTCTTATACTCGTTAAGTTAGAATTTTCAAAATTTAACCAATTTACAAACAGACAAAAATTTTCATACGAAAATAGTTATTTTATCGCGATTAACAAATCTGATCCTATATTTTGATTTAACATCCGCTGATTAATTCAACAGTTTAGTAAAAAAAAATCACATAAATAAACATTTTCTCTGTAAGTGTGTATAATGAGATAAGAATCATAACTTAAACGAACTTAGAAATTGCAGAGGCGTTCAATATACCAATTTATGTGAAATATAGGATAATAGTGTGTATACACAAATGTTCTGAAGTATTCTCAAGACTTGTAAATGCATACATATAAGTCTATAATTAATAGTCTAATATCTAATCGTGGGAGTACTATACTCTCTATTGTTCCTGTGTATAAATGATTTTAGCGCATATCTACAGAAACAAATTATATTCATTAGAAATTTATAAAAACCGATTTTCTAGATTTTAATATTTTTTCAGCAATTTTACAAGAGAAATTTCTATCCCGGATCTTATTTGCTTATATGTGTATATAAACGTATTGATTATCGATGAGAAGCTGTAAATCCCTCTTTTCATACGTACTCGAGAGATGGTTATCAAAACATAATTTACTTGCATCATGGTATACACAAACAGGGAATTGAAATCGCAAGCATGTGCATAACTCCTAGTCAATGAAGCAATATGATGTTCAACATTAAAATTATTATGCAAACCAATCGGAAATTGGCTGTAGCCAATTTTAAACATTTTTTTACGATTCTTACTATTGTCATTAGCCCTAATTTCAATGCCAAGTTTTCGAATTTAATTATTGGACCGTATAGAAATTTGATTTCAAGCCAAGAAGAATTTTATTTGCCTTAGCAATTAGAAAAATAATAATAATTCATAGAATTACTAAGGAACGAAAAATTGAGAGAGTGAAATTCAAACTAGAGAGTCTCGACGAGACTAAGATTCTTATACCCCCTCCACTTAGGATCCTAAAGTTATCTCTGATGTTAATAGAGTTGAAGTCTGACATTCAAACACCTAAATGGAGGGAGTATAAAAATCAGTGACTCGTCAAGATTCGTTCAATTACAGGTCTTGATTTCCACTTCTAGTAAAAGTATTGACAGAATTTTTGTTTTGTGAATGTAGGAAATTTATTTTTCATGATTTTGAAATGATTCAATATTGTACACTGTAAAAACAAAGTCTTCCTTTAAGCCAGAAATTTGTCTTTTTTCAAGGTGTAAACGGAAGTAGACCATATTGGCTGAATGTCAGTAATGATTAGAAGTTTAACCCATTAAGGACGGGATGTACAAAATTTGTACACAATGTTTAAGGATATATTTCAATAATAAAATGCTACGAGAAAATCTTTTGAGTACACATTTCTTATGTGTCAAGAGTCCCTCTTTCGAATGGCGTGATCAAAAAAACTAAAAAATGTTAAATAAACAATTTATTTAACAATTTATAACAAAAAACACGATTTTTTAAGAATTTCAAATTGGTTTTTTAAATTTTTTTATAGCTTAACCCTTCAGCATATCTTCTACTGTTATAAATATCGCGTCAAAAATAGTCGGGCTACAAGATAAAACTATTTTGGGAATCAAATTTTTAAATGGCTGCCACAAAATGGCGACCAAAGTTACTTTTTTTAAACAATATTATAAACAAATGGAGGAAATTTTCAAAAATAGTTAACTTTGCTTGAAACTTGTCACTCGGGGGTTTTTGGGGTCGCTGATTACGAATATAACCTTATATTTTGAAAATTCAAAATGGCGGATCCAATATGGCGGACTTATTTTTAAAAATCATACAAATTCTCATGAAACTTCTTACTCGGGGGTTTTTGGGTTCGCTGGTTACGAATATAACCTTAGATTTCAAAAATTCAAAATAGCGGTTCCAATATGGCGGACGACAAATTTAAAAAACGATTGTATTCTCTTGAAACTTGTCACTCGGGGGTTTTTGGGGTCGCTGATGATGAATTTGACCTCATTTTTTTCAAAAATTCAAAATGGTGGATCCAATATGGCGTACGAAATTGAACTACACTACCGGTCAAAATTGAGAGACCACCCATTTTCAGACGAATGAAAATCGTATTAAAACATAAAATTTACTGAAACTAAAATTTTTTTTGTTTATTTTCTGAAAGTTGATAAAATTTTGGAAAGAACAAAATATTTTAGAAGTCGTTTGGCGAATAATTTATTTAAATATTTTTAAAAAAATCGTCATTTTCAATTTTTTATACAAATTTGAAGAACTTCTAAATATATTTTCTAAAATAGTTTTTAGTACAGAAAAAATGTTCTAAATTTTTTGAATTTTCTTGGTGCAAGTTTGACAGTCTACACTTTCTAAGAAAAAAATTACTCGTTAATGACTATAAGTGATTCTTATAGTGTAGCAAATTATCTTTAAAATAAGCCTAACATCATTAACAAGCGTTCATTAAAAATGGAGATTTTTTAAAAATATCTAAATAAAATAATGTCAAAATGACTTCAAAAAGATCTTGTTCTTTTTAAAATTATATCATCTTTCCAGAAAGAAAAAGAAATTTTTTTTAGATTTTCATATATTTTATGTTTTAAAATGTTTTTTAATCACCTGAAAATGGGTGGTCTCTCTATTTTGACAGGTAGTGTAATTTGGCGGGAAATTATAAATCAGTGAATTTTGAAAATACAATATACTATCTATATCCATTACATTAATTCATTATTTTTTAAGAACTAATCCAATTTAATTTCTTGATTATTTAATTAGTTCATAATTATTTATATTCGAATATAAAATAATTTGCGGGAATTTTCAAAGTGTACGTTTTAAATACATACTATATTGAATACATTAATTATGATAATATATTATTTATTAAAAGTAATTTAATTAATTTTCGAAAATATTTATTATATAAAAATCAAAATTAATTCATAATTATGAAAATATATATAATTTGACGAAATTTTTGAACGTATTTACTATGTCAGCAATGCAATCAATATTTTTGCAAACAGTGTTTTTCAGAATCACATGAAAAAAAAATAATTAAAGTAAGAATAGATTACAAATTTTCTAAATAATGTTTAAAAATATAAAAGGCAACAAAAATATTAAAACATTTTTAAAAATAAAAAAAAAGATTTTTTAAAAACGGTTTAACTCCACGCGGTGAGAATACAATCATTTAAAAAGTTTTTCGTACGCCATTTTGAATCCACCCTTTTCAAATTTTTGAAAAAACAAGGTCAAATTCATCATCAGCGACCCCAAAAACCCCCGAGTGACAAGTTTCAAGAGAATACAATCATTCTTTAAATTTGTCGTCCGCCATATTGAATCCGCCATTTTGAATTTTTGAAATCTAAGGTTATATTCGTAACCAGCGAACCCAAAAACCCCTGAGTAAGAAGTTTCATGAGAATTTGTATGATTTTTCAAAATAAGTCCGCCATATTGAATCCGCCATTTTGAATTTTTAAAATATAAGGTTATATTCGAAATCAGCGACCCCAAAAACCCCCAAGTGACAAGTTTCAAGAGAATGCAATCATTTTTTAAATTTACCGTCCGCCATATTGGATCCGCCATTTTGAATTTTTAAAAAATAAGGTCATATTCGTCATCAGCGACCCCAAAAACCCCCGAGTGACAAGTTTCAAGCAAAGTTAAATATTTTTGAAAATTTCCTCCATTTGTTTATAATATTGTTTAAAAAAAGTAACTTTGGTCGCCATTTTGTGGCAGCCATTTAAAAATTTAATTCCCAAAATAGTCCTATCTTGTAGCCCAACTATTTTTGACGCGATATTTATAAGAGTAGAAGATATGCTGAAGGGTTAAGCTATAAAAAAATTTAAAAAACCAATTTAAAATTCTTAAAAAATCGTGTTTTTTGTTATAAATTGTTAAATAAATTGTTTATTTAACATTTTTTAGTTTTTTTGAGCACGCCATTCGAAAGAGGAACTCTTTACACATAAGAAACGTGTACTCAAAAAATTTTCTCGTAGCATTTTATCATTGAAATATATCCTTAAACATTGTGTACAAATTTTGAACATCCCGTCTTTAATGGGTTAAAAAGAATACTCCCCAATTGATACAAGTGAGGTGTTAAATGAACTGAAATTCAACTGTAAGCTAGTAAGAAGGCTAAAATTCAGCCAAACCATCTAGCTAAATTTCAGCCTTCTTACAAGCTTACAGTTGAATTTCAGTTTATTTAACACCTTACTTGTATCAATTGGGGAGTCTTCCGTTTACACCTTGAAAAAAGACAAATTTCGAGCTTAAAGGCGGTGTCAAAGTCGATGCGATTTTTCCATTGAAGCTCAATGCAAAAATCCAATCGACTTTGACACCGCCTTAAAGAAAGACTTTGTTTTTACAGTGTATGTTCATATTCTTGAATTTTATTAAAATAAACATATGTCACATTTAATTTCTTATAACAAACAACAATTATTAAAACTATCAGTGGAAATTTCTCTCTTTAAGATAAAGAATTAAATGCTAATGCACACATATATTAGGTGAAATTAAGATTATAAACTGTTTATAAACTTGTTTATAATCGAATTAAAATATTAACATACTAATAAAACTAAACTTTCTGTCTAAGATTCACCAATTATAAATATAAATTATGGACTTATATATTATTAATAAAACACGAGTCAAAAGTAAACCGACAAACCGGCGACGCGACGCGCTATTCAGACTTTTCACGTTTGCAAATTGCGTCCCTTGTGACGTCACAATCAACTGTTTCAGCCTCGCCAGACTTACAGTCAGCTGTTAGCGTACCTTATTAGAAGTTAATTTCATCCAACTTTTTATTAATACCATTGGATCTGAAATTAAGTCCGGTGTATTACAAATAAATTACAAACTGAGTTTTATTTAAGTAAGAGTACAACTAACTTTAATTTTCAGTTAGTTTTTATGATTAAATAAAGTTGATAGCTTAAGATAAGTCAAAAATTAAAACTAGCCACCATTAAATTTAAGACTTTGTTTTTACTGTGTACTGATGCATCATAATGTAAACTGGTGTAATATGCAAAAGGTACTTACGATTGCTGGCCAAGCAACTGTATTAGCAGCGGCTGTAGTTCCCCGTAATGATTTTCCATTGATGCGAAGATGATGATTGTTGTTGGAATGGTTGTGGTGGTCGATAGCGATAAGGCTTGTGTGTCTTGGGTCAGGTCGTTCGGCCCAACAAACTTCTTTTTCTATGAGAAAAAATGAGAAGGATCCATTCCTGTGTGGTGTTAGCCATTCTCTCCTTTGCCATTCTACATCGTCATATTCCACTAAAACCTGTAAAACAAAAAATTTTCAGTTTAGAAAACTATTTACTCAGGGAAAAGTCAGGGATTTTTATTAAAAGTACTAGATAAAAAAATCGATAGATAAAAAATAGATAAAGTAAATTAAAGTTTTCTACGAAAACATTCAATTATTCAATAAATTATTTATTTTTGTATTTAATTGTTTGTAAAATAAAGAAATAAATAAATAATTGAATTCTCGTACAATTTTCTAATATTCAATAAAAAATGCATTTCAGTTATAAAATTTTAGATAATCATTGTTAAAAGCATTATACAGAGTAAATTTTTAGAAATAATTTAATTTTGAAAAGGTTTCAAATTAATATCTTTGAAAATCTAAATTTTTCATACTTTTAACTAATAATTCTGCAGAATTAATTTTTTTTAAAAAACTGAATTTTTTAAAAAATTATTTCATGTTTTTATTTTCTAATATATAATTAATTGAAGAATTTCTGAATAAACGAAATTTCGTGTCCAATTGAATTGTAAACAAATGGATTTGAAAATTATTAAAAAACTTTTTCAAAAATTATTAAAAATAATTGATTTAAAGAAAAATTTTAGTTAAAATTTCTAAAAAATAATTGAATTGAATTGATGAAAATAATTTTGAAGAAGTTACAGTAACAATATTCTTTTATAATATAAAATAATGATTTCATCTCTCGGTCATGTTTTATAATAATATTCTTAAAAGTTATTGGATTTTAAAAGGTTTCAATTTGAAATTATTGAAAATCTTACGTCTATTGTTACTCGCATGAATACAATAAAAACAAAAAATAAATACGATCTTTTGCCAATTACTCATCCCAAAGTGTAAAATCCAATAGTTAAGATAGCTGCCTTTAAAATCTATAGGATCAAAATCGAGATCGAAATTGAAAAATGGTTTAATATGCTACAAGAAAACAAAATAGCATCTAGTTTTTTAGCAACGAAAAATGAAAACTTATTAATGTTGTAATATATTACCGCAAGGTGCTGCCATCTTAAGTCGAGAGTAAAAGTATACGTGTGCGTGTGAAGCGAGCTAAAGAGTCAGTCTTTGTCGAGCATTGTAGTCGACTACCTCATTGTCTTTTTAATAAACTAAATTAATTATTATTTGTAATAAAAGTATCTTATTTATTGCCCCCGAGTTATCACAAATGTCTTTATAAAACAGCTCTCAGATATATCTGATGATAAATTGAAACAAGAACGGTATACAACAATAGTAGATTGTGCAACGAGTGGAGAACAAGGGCGATTTCTCGCGAGCTCGAAGTTTGCTGCGCAAGCGTAGCGCGCGCAGCAATCGAGCGAGCGAAAATCGCTGTTCTCCACAAGTTGCACATACTATTTTGTCCAACAACTGCAAAAAAATTTTTTTATGAATTATTATTCATAAATTTAAACTATTAATTTTTCAAAATTTTAAGTTGAATTTACTCTTTATTTATCGAAATAAAAATATTACAATGATGTTATAGCAATAACTGAGAGTGAAACAAAATCTAATTTTGAAAAAAATTTTGAAAAAAAATCTGAAAATTGAAAAAAAAATTTTGGAAAAAAATTTTTCAAAAATGAATGTCTTGAAAGTGTCCCCAAAGATCCCCAGAGTGTCCTCAAAATTCTGTTCCTAAAATGTTCTAATTCTAATATAAAATAAAAAATCGATTAATCAATTTCTCATTCCACCACCAGTGGGGAAATGACATGAGGCTGAAGTCCGCAACGTTTAAAAAAACGAAAAATTAAAAAAATTAAAAAAATTAAAGCTTTTCAACGCAAAAACGTTTTAATTGCTAAAAACATGCACAAAACAACTTTCAACCCCTTAACCCCTTCAGCACCCTTCGTTTATGGGGTAAAATGACCCAAAAAACGAAAAAAATTTATCAAAGTTACAGATGGTCTTACAGTTGTATTTTTTTTCAGAAATCACTTCTTTTAGACCCCACTAGACTGCAAAAAAAGTTTCGCCCTCCTAACCATTTCGGATCCCTTCGTTTATGGGGTAAAATGGTCGAAATGACTTCATTTCTCCACTAGCCAAACCACCAGTGGGGAAATGTACTACATTCCTCCATTGGTGCCTAGCGTACAATAGTTCTATTTCCACAAAGGCGTTGGACAAAAACTGTTTACAACCATGTTATTCAGTGCACGGATAAAAGATTTCAACTCTTGACAAAGTCGTTCTATTAAAAAATTTCCGGGTTTCTTGAGTTATGAATTTTCCAACCGAGTGAATCTTGTATCAATGACACCAATTACTTCCGCTAGAAAAAGAAATATGTTCCGCAACAATATTCGAGCAAAAGAAAACTTTATAAATCGAAATGTTTCCTTAAATTACTATTAATTATTACCTTAGCAGCCACCAATAAAAAAGGGAAATAATCTTTTTCCAAAATCGAAAATTCCTGTCTTACTTTTATTGACAAAATAGTAGCTTCAAAACCTATGTATAATACCACAGTACCATAGAAATATACATTTGCGGTTATTAGAAGGTATAAATTACGACGCAAGAGCGTGTTTGTCAGTGATTAAAATTGCTCTTGATGTATATGAATAAGTATGAAGAATATAATTGTGATTATATTATGCATTATTCATATAACTGTCGACTACCGGGGGGGTGTGGGTCGTTTCTCACGCTCAGTTTATTTGACGCTCTCGTTAACATGTCGAATTCAACGCGAAAGCACGAGCGACCTATACACTCGAGAGTCGCTAATTGAAGGTCGACCAGACTTGTCGGTTCAATGAATGCGGGACTTCAGCCTTTTCCACTCCCCATGTATTCTCTCAATAAAAACGTAAATTAGTTTTCCTTTATTCGAATCGCAAAAAAAAATGAATATTTACATTTTTATTTTTACACAGATTTCAATTCATTTCCATCACTTCAATAAAACATGGATAATTTCAAAATTCCGTTCACTTTTGAAAAACATTTAATATATTTATGATGCTGAAATTATTAGCAGTCCGAATCAATTATTAATTGGTTGAAAAATTGTTTCACAGCTAAGCTAACAAATTTCATGTACCAAAAATGATGAAATACACGATTATTGTGAGATTTGTATATGTTTTCTATTGAATTAACAAAATTTGAGACATTACAAGAATTTTGCGGTTTTAGTATTATCGAACAGTATTAACTATCCTTTTTGCTTTTGCAATTGCGCTGATAACCTTTTGCTCGAATTTCACACACGTAATAGTAGTTAAAGTGAGTGCACGTGACCATCTGTCGTCATATCGCGTCATCGACAATGAACCGTGCATGTATGTCACTCCCGTTTCTGCAGTATCAGGCAGATTGTTGGATCGGATACAACATAGACATATACATACAAACATACATCAACAAGTATCCGCTTACACAAGTTTCATTTTATATTATAGAGCCACATATCCATGGAAATGTGCTTTCCTCTGTATCTAATGTTGATACTACTTGAGCATTATCCTAGTTATTCTCTGTACATTTTGTAGCATACGGACAGATACATACTTCGCGATTCGACAATGATGACAAAAATAAATGCTAATTTATAATATCATATTACCAAATTGCAATTAGTCAACATTATGTATATAGCGCATAAATTATAAAACGTGGATTTTATCTGGTGAACCATATCCGTTGTTTTAAAATTCCGTAAAAAGCAGAAGCGAGCTTATAAATGATGTTTGGAAGTGCCGATTGTTTAATTGGAAGTTCAATTATTGTTGGCCTGTTAATTTTGCCATTTGAGGTAAAAATTGAATTTTAAAAACTTATGTATGAAGGAGTTTACACCGAGAGGCATATATTTATACTCGTGCGCGCATAAACAGATATTCCTCCAGGAGAATAGGCTGTGTAGTGTAGGCTGTATAGTGAAAGACTTTGCCTTGACCACGTGTTTGCGCAGGCGCGAGTATATTCTCGTGGAGGAATATCCGCTTATCCCAGTAAACAGAAACTAATTGAAATAAATTAAAAAGAATTCACAAAGAGTTTCAGTTAATCCCGCTTTGTGACAAATACGAATTGGAGCTATGTTGCAATTTTCCTGAATTCGTCAAACTGTATTGAACTTCCAAACCTTCTATTCATACTAATTCAATGGACAAGTTTTGGGACCTTTAATTTTTTTTAATTCGTCAGTACGAATTCAATGCATGCCTTGGTCATTTCTTACGAATGCGAATTCGTTTGCACAACTTCAGGCAAATTGAATCGAATTCAGTCGAATATACAAAGAGCTTGAATGAATCCCGCTTTCTACCAAAAATCTTAATTCATTTCAATCCATTTGAATTAGTTTTTTTTACTGGGATACTCAGTGTAAACTCCTTTTATGTCGGGTTACAAGACTAAAATTATGACAAATTTTGTCTCTTGGTACTATTTTTAGTAAAATTAGCATCAATATAGGCACTTTGAAAAATTTGTATCATTCTCTGACATTTATTTTATATTTTATTTATTTATTTTATATTTATTATATATAGAAAATATTTACTGCTTTGATTCAAAAATATTATTTGTTTGAAAAATTTTATGTTTAATTCAAACATATTTTCAGTTTTGATTTAAACAAAAATTATGTTTAAAAATTTTATGTTTAATTCAAACTTAAAAGTTGATTATAAATAATTTAAAATCAACCATAACTTATGTTTGAATTAAATATATAGTATTTCTTTAAATGAACCAAAAAATATGTTTCAATTAAACTTAAATATGTTTGACTGTATAGCAAAGATATTTTATGTTTTATTTAAACAAAATATGTTTGAACCAAATAAATCATTTCCTCAGAGTGTATTGTTGTTTAATTGTGCCAAACGTTTAATTATCAGCCTCGAGGAACTATTTGATATTTTGATTATTTTTCACAAACCACTAGTAAAATTTAAGGGGGAGGAGAGTAAGGTTAATTTGATGAAAGAGATGCATATTTTAAAAAATTTATTTAGCGATGCACAGAG